ATAGTCATTTTTCACAAATAAACATATAATTTTGGGCATTTCAGATAATCAATTATGGGAAATTTTGTAACTTTGTTCTTGTCCCATTTTTCTAACTTTACAAATCCAAAAAAATGACAAGAGGTTAATTGTAATATATCATCAATAAGTATATGGATTATATTACAGGCATATATAGATTAAATAATATTCCATTTGACTGCCAAAACATTCCACTGACATAATAATTAATTTAGAAACACACGTTAGACGACTTTAGAGAACTGTACTGTTTAATGAAAGCAAAATAGTGGAAAATGCGTGTGTTAATAAAACTATGTCTCAAAATCGAAGCATCTAATCATGCCTCCTCAAGAAAATATAAATGCATGAGATTACTTTTAGTTCTGACCAAATTTCAAATCTTATAATTTTGGTGGTGAGTATAATTCCCAATCTTAATATATACATATAGATCCATGTTTATAATTTTCAATCTCCGGTCCTATTTTATTTTATTATTTATTTTTTACTAATACGACACTCGTGTACTACATCCGTGCATGAAAAAATAATTTGAACAAAAAAAAAAGTAAAAGAATTTTGTATTGTATTTTATACAAAATAAATAAATGAAAAAATCCCATTAGAATACGATTTTAAAATTCCGTTACAAATTCAATTAAAGATTTTGAAGTGTGAAGAAATTTGTTACCATATATTTTCAAATAAATTGGAACCATTGTTAACGCAATTATCAAATAAAATAATTTAAAAAAATTAATATAGATATGGTTTTAGTTAACTCAATTATTATCAAATCAAACATTGTTAGTAAAATTATCAAATACAAGAATATAAAAAAGAGAATGTGAATAAGGTGTTGGTTAAATCATTTATCAGATAGAAGAATATAAAAAAATTAATTATCAAATAAAACATTGTTAACTCAATTATCAAATAAAAGAAAAATTGTTAAATATGATATTGTGACATGTATGATTCCAAAACATGTGAGTCTGCCACTTAAGCGATCAACACATTTTGAATTAATACATAGAGAGAGATTTCGTTTAGAATTTGGGGTCTTTCTATAATATTTCAAGATTTTGCTTTAATCAAGACCTCAAATTCTATTTTATGATACATCTTTCTTTTGTTAAAAATACATTTGTTTTCTACGTTTTATCATTTCATATTAATATCAAGAAAGAATTCACACTATATATATATATATGCATAATAGTACAAACAAGTTTATTAAGGATCATGCTTTTCCCCGACCTAATAAATACAAATTATAATGCCTCATATTTTTCTCCAGTAAGCCTTGTTACATCATTACTTGTGACCTTGAGTAAATATCCCTTCTTTTCTGTTGTTTGGTTAGTTGACAAATTCAATGCTTTGTTGTTTATATGTGAAAAGAGAAAAGTAAAGAATTAAAAATAATATAATAAGGCCTATTTAGTTATATATCTTATATGCCTCGCCTGTATAAATTGGCTTCAACAGGTCCAAATAATATTAGTCCTCATGTGTATCAAACTTCTTCTTATGGGCAATTGGCTTGTAATGTACAAAATTTTGCTCTGTGCTTGATCTTGAGCATTATTTTTGTATTTAACAACAAATTTTTCATTGTCTAACTCAAGATTTAGTGTATTTTTCTCGCAGTTTAAGCGCCTGAATATCATGGAAATAGAGCAAAAAGAGAGATTGAGGCATGGAAATGAATTCATGTCTAAGCAAACGGGATATTGGTGCGGTTCAATTAGAAAGGCGTTCTCTGATAGATTCAGAGCTCGGTTTATTTAATTGAGCCGTGCCAATATCACGTATGCACGTCCGCTCTGTACGGCTCGAAGAAGGTATTTTTATTTTTAATATATGATTCTGTTTTTTATTTACCTAAGTAAAGACATATATAAGATGGTACAGTCAATGTATATTTGAAGCATAATGATTATGGGATTTTAGTTTTTGTAAATTACATATATTTTATGTATTTATTTAATTAATTAACCTATTGGAATATTTAGAGCCAAAATAAGCTGGGCCTATGATGCTATGTAATTACATCTTTAGCCCAATTGCAGCTCGATACTCCCAATGAGGCGGAGTCCGTTGAAATTTGGCCCAGTCGGTCCAGTATTGACATTGTAAGTGAGAACAAATTTACATGAGTTAATTTATTTATTTTAAATAAAGGATGCAACACATAATTATTGAATGAGAATATTTATTTTCGTATATTGAAATTATTAGTTAGGCAACGGGCTAGACTTTAATTATGTGAGCCCTCAATGAACGTTAAGATAAATGCTATTAATTAATTGTTTGAGCTTTTACCTTTTATAGGGTACACTATATTGTACAGTCTTGAACTGATGTAGTTGCTTAGGTTAAATACCAATAAATAGAAAGCTATAAACCACATAAGTTTAGCTGGAATCCTAATAAGTTTGCATGTGCTTCGTTTTTCTCTTCCTAATTTGGTCACTAATACACTTAGACTTTAATGAATGGCATGAATTATTAGGTAATCCGATTTTTAAGACAAATTTGTATAATGATTTTTGTTAATGCAGTACAAACATTATTTATAAGACGAGTGAGCTAACACATGACTCACCCCCCTTACAAAATTGAACTCCAAAAAAAAAAAAATTGTCTTCCATTTCCAAAGTAACACATGACTCACTCGGGATGGGCCCGACCCGATACCAGACCTGAAGGCCTTTTAGTACGTGAGGTGACTGAGTCAGGCCCATGAAGCTTGACAAAACTATCATTACCGGAACATATTGAGCAACAAAGGCCTGCTCATTGTGCATAACTAACTGGTCATGGATAAACGGACCAAGCCCATTGTTAAGAAGATGGGCCAGAGATGAGTTTGCTAGGTCTAATGGGCTATTACTGTTTTATTCAACAAACAATGTCGTGAGGTGTCAAACGAGCCGCTCGTGACACCTCACCGCTCGTGAGCTCAACTTGACTTGACTCCTAAAGTCTTGATTTTGGATCAGTTGTTTGAACCAAACTTATTTTTTTGATGAAATTTTCTATAGCTCCACCAATTTAATATTGATAAACGAGCCATAATCGAGTTCGTTTATCGGTGATCTCAGTTCGAATAAAGCTCGAGCACTAGTTCAAAGTTCGTCTCAGATTGTTTACACCCCAGTGTGTTGCTCGATTGCTTTCCATTTGCTTTTCAGTCTTTTTCTTCAAGTTCTTTAATGATGCATTATTTTTCCCATGAACCCTAATTTTTAAATACAAATTCTATAAACTTAAACCGTCATTGGGAATATACCAGGCCAATTATCAATTCTCAATTATTTTATTTATTTATTTATTTATTTTTTTAATTCTGGGTTCAAGAAAACTAAAACAGAAAATATTTGCATTTTTGTGGTCCCATTTTACCCAAGTTATCAGTCATAAGTTGGATTAAGTTCCTGTCTTTAGTAAAGATGCTGAAACAAAAAATAAATAAATAAATAATTAAATAAATAAAATGCTCTCTTTGTGACCTAAACGTTCTTGATGTTCATATCATGCCAGTAAAATCCTTTAAATGGTGAAATTGGTGTTCCGAACAGTTGGATCAACACACATCCACACAAATAATCATATGCTATGTAAATAGTAAATACAAATGAATTCAAGGTGATTATTATTACTCAAGCTAAATCCCAGGTAAAACAACTTGAACTAAAGAATCTTTATCCGCGCAGCATTTTATTCCACACAATGCCGCGCAATAGTTTACTGTAAGATTCGAACCCAAAAACGGGCAAATTCAAAACACGCGCTTAATGATGAACAAGATCGATTATGAAACCTCTCATATATGCACAAAGACACAAACACAACGGAAATTTGTCAGCAAAATATTTTCTTTGTTTTCTTCAACTCACTAAAAACTGAAAGAGCCGATTCAAATATTCCATTATTACCTTTAGCACGACTCAAAGATTTAGCTTTTTTTGACCGTTCACTAAAAGAGCTTTAGCGGCTGTTGAGCTGTTCCGCTTCTCATCATCGCACAAAACTCCTCGTAGTTAATTTTCCCATCCTAAAAGAAAAAAAAAATAAACATTTTAAAAACCAATAAACCAAATTCAAATTGACAATAAATATATGATCGAATATCGAGAGTATATAGAACTTACATTATCAGTGTCCACCTCTGAAATTATTTCCTTAATTGTGGCCTCATCTCCCATACCATACTCCTTCATAGCTGTTTCCAGCTCATCTCTCGTAATATAACTAAATAAATTTTAAAGGAAAATAACACATCAATTAAGAATATAATAAAGCATCTCTAAAAAATTATATAGCAACTAAAAAGAAATCTTCATATCTTACCCACTGCTATCCTTGTCGAAAAACTGAAACGCGTTAAACAAATGCTCATCTCGTTCAAGCTTATGTCTATGCATTGTGGCAGTAATAAATTCAATGTAGTCGATCGATCCATTACCATCCACATCAGCCTGATATAATTTAAAATAGAAAAAATAGTTAAAAATGCAAAGCTCTAAAAAGTAAGAACCTTAACGGCAAATGATCTTTTTTCTTTTCTTTTTTCTAAAATAAGAGCATGATAATTACTTACAGCTTCCATGAGTTGTTTCACTTCAGTTTCTGAAAGTTTGGAGCCGAGCCGAGCCAAGCCAGATTTCAGCTCTTCATAAGTGATTGTGCCACTTTTATCCGTGTCCATATTAGCAAACATTGCTTTAAGTCCCTTTATTTCTTCTTCTGATAAGCTTTGTGCAATAACCTGAGTAATGTGATCGTTTGAGTAAAAAAAAAGGGAAAAGATATCTGATAAATATAGAAAAAAAATAAAAATTAAATTTTACCTTAAGTGCGAGTTTCTTGAGCTTATTCATTGCCCTGAACTGTTTCATTCGAGATAAAACTGCACTATCGATCGGCTTATCAGATGCTTGTCCCTTAATCCAAGGGTGCTCT